TACGCTGCCTTCTCTGCTGCAGCCCCGGCGAGCCAAGGGCAGCTGGCAGTCCCAGGGGAACTTTGTCCCCTTCCTGAGGAGACCTGAGGGCAGGAGGGTGTTTGCCATAATGCTGGTGACCTTGGACGCTTCTCCTTTTTCCTGGCTTCTGTTCCATTTCCAGGCTGGAAGTGTTGAGCTCTCCCACGCACCCACAAACCCGTCTGGCTGGCAGGCCCTGCCACAGCGTGACCCTGGGGACAGAGGGTGACTTGGGGACAATGAGACATGGTGGTTGGCTTTGGTGTTTGTAGATGAGACATGGTGGTTGGCTTTGGTGTTTGTCAGGATGAGTTTCCAGCAGAAATGCTCTTTTCCTTTCCAATGTGTTTCAGTTTTGGACATATGTTATCTCTTTCCTTTTTCGTCTAAATAGAGTGGCTTTTTTGAGGATTTCTGTTTCCCCCTGGTTGTGGTGTAGCTCTGGCCAGTACTACCCAGCTGATCCCCCCTCTCCTCCTCACACTCTGCAGCCCTTGCCTCCTCCCTCTCTTCTCCTCCCTCTCTTGCTGTCTGGCACATGTCTCATTCCTCCCCCCGTTACTCCAATGCCACAGATTTATTTTACGCGTGTGCCTGCACCTGTGTGCACGCACAGAAGAGAAACCTTCAGAGCTGAGAGAGGCCACCAGCTCCTTCATGTAGCTTTTATCTGCATGGCTTCATTCTTTGCATAATTTCTGTGTATTTGAATTTAAATACAGATCCTGCTTGATGTGAAACTTGTGCGTGTGTGGTCAGAGAACAAGTCCCCACATGTGTTGGTACAATCTGAGCTCCAGACATGCAAGTGCTGCTGTTACAGGTCACTGGTGGCTCGGCAGCCCCAGCTGTGCTGCAGGGCCCTGGCTGAGGTCACTGCCAGTCCGGCCTGACCAGCAGATGGCACTGGGAGAGGCACCGCTGAGAACTGGGCAGCTCAACTCGCCCCGCACACCCTGCCCGCAGCTCTGAGCTCTGTTCCATCGCCAGCTTCAGCTGGAGCTAAGAATCACATTAGAAATAACCTCTATTATTTCTGCTGCCCAGCTGCCTTCGGGGGACAAACCCATCCCTGGCCTCTGGACAGAGGATAAAAATACAGCCCCCCAGGCTGCTCCTCACCCGGGACAGGGGAGTGGGGTCGGAGATGAGAGAGCATTTCAGGACCTTGTCAGGTTTTGCATCTGCGTGAAGGACAGTGTGGCATTCCCTAAAAGTTCCCTAGAAACACTACAAAGAGCACAAAACCATTTCTCCTCCCAGCAAGATCAGGGCACTCGAGCAAACCCTGATTTTTTGCAGTGCTGGATGTCCCACCCTGCTTAGAGCCAAGGAGGCACAACATCGAGGCTGCTGATTAACAGCCACCACCATCATTCCAGGATTCAGGTGTTTTATCACTGGTGTGGGGCTACGAACCTTGTGAAAACTCCTGAGTTTTGTTCTCCTGAAGGCTTTGCCTTGTGGAGTCAGGCTGTTGTGCAAGGACCTATTTATAGAGTTCCTCGCAGCAGCAAAGTCCAAGCCAGAAGGAAATCCGCTTTCCTCTTGCCCTGCTCCCCAGGCCAGCGGGGCTGAGCCTGCCCACAAGGGAATTTGGGGGCTTTGGCTTCATCCTGACTTTGGGGGTTTAGGCAAGGGCAGGGTTTGGTGTGCTGCACAGGGGAGAATGCACAAAACATTCAAGGGAGACTTTTGCAGCATTTCCACTCCTTTTCTGGGGTTGGCATAAAGGGGACTCTGGCACTGGGGTGACCCTGGCAAAGATTCTGCCAGGTCCTTACAGCCCTGTGTGGTGGGAGGAGGAGGAGGCATTAACCATCAGCTGGGCTGGTTAAACGGTGGGATCTGTGGTGTTTAGGAGGCCTGGCTTCTTTATGAACCTCACCTGCTTGGTTGCCTCCATCCCTGGGTCCATTTCCAGCAGGGACAGGGAGGTGTTTGCTGCAGGTGGAGTGAGAGGAGGTTCTTTTGCTTCAGCTCTTGAATCTCCCGTGAATGCAGTGGGCCAGAACAGTTGTGGCGAGCTCACACCCTGCTGGGTATTTGCATTTGGGGTTATGCTGCTGGCAGGTCCATCCAGCTTCCCGCAGTGTTTGGGCTGGAAGTGCTCTTGTCCCACAGTGTCCTGTGAGGGTCTGGGGAGGACCTACCTTTCTTGATCTTGTTTCCTGGCTGCTCTTTGCTAAATGGTCTTGCCCTTCCATGCCATTGCAACCACCTGCAAAACTAAAACAGGAGGGCACTTCTCCTGGCGTTAAGTAATCGATTCTGGCCAAATCTTCCAAGCCTCAGTCTGCAGCACGGCTTCCAGAGTAGCTGCTGCCTTCAGCTGTCAGAGGGAGTGGTGCTCACACCTTCTGCATCGTTAGGGTGGGAAACCCAGAGGTGAGACCACAATGGCAAAACTGGGATGACCCAGGGGAGGTTTTGATACTTTGGTCAAAGAGCTGCAAGTGAGCCCTGTTCATTTTCCTCATCTAGAGCTCGTTTGACATATCCTTGGAAAGGCTGCAGGAGGCTGGTACTTCTCTAGAGAACCTGCTGGTCCTAGTGACATGCTGAGGTGGAATTGGGGGGAATGGGGCTGTTCCTGCAGCTATTGAGGCATTGTGGTGACAGACACAATTGGATGAGTCAATATTGATTGAGTGTCTCACCGTAGCCTCCCTCACTTCAGCTCCCCTTGGCGCTCACTGTACTGGTTTGGACAATACCCCATTCTCACCCTGCCCAACTCAGAGGGATTACCAGTCAACACTTGTATCCTAGCATTTTTAAATAATAAAATGGATGAATGAATAGGGTGGAAGGCGATAAACTCCTCCAGAGCTCATAAATCCGGGCGAGTAGGGAGAAGAGAGAGATCCTGCTACTCCCACAGCAGTGCAGGAGCCTTGTCAGACACTGGCCAGCCCCGCTGGAGACCCTCGAGACGTGAGTCAGTAGCAACCCAGGCTTGGTCACTTCTGTGCTGCAGAGTGGGGCCTCTGGAGCCAGCAGGCTGGAGCAGAGCCTGTCAGGTGTCGGTGTGTGGCTCCTGTCCCCGGGGTGTGGGGATGGGCTGTTCCTTGTGCGAGCAGAAGGAAAGCTGCATTCCACACACACTTACCTAATGCCGGCTGGACACGAGTGTCTCAGCTCCAGGGTGGGGCTCGGACCTTGCACTGCTAATCTTGATGCTTCAGACACTGGCTCCAGAAGGAGTCATCGGAGCAGGTTGGGAGTTGAGAAATGGCCCTGCACCCCTTTGGCAGCCGCCCTGCTGTTGCCAAAGGCATCAGCTCTTACTCACATTACCCCATGAGCCGCATGCCCTGGTGATGACTCCTCCAGGGCTGTTTGCTCTTCCTCACAAGCTCTGTGTATCCCATTTTCCTTCATCCTTGTTGCCATGCTCTCCCCTGCAGGGCTCAGCCAGGGTGCCAAGGGCCATGCGGAGTTTGGTCCTGCATCTCCACATCATGTTTGGAGAGACCAGCACCTGCACTGCTCTCGTGGAAGGTGTCCTTGCTCATGGCAGAGGGGTTGGAATGAGATGAGCTCTCAGGTTCTTTCCAAACCATTCCATGGCTCTATGATTCTCAGCACTTACTACTTGTAAGCCAGGCCATGGTGAGCTGCCCAGCAGGAGCTGGAGCCCATGTTGATTTTTTTCTAGGTGTTTCTCCAGGTCTCCAGAGATACAACAGCAAATATGTTGAGGTGCCTCCATCAAGAGACAGATTTGCCTTAGCAATACATGGGCATGTCTGGTTTGACCACCTGAGTTGAAGACCTGGTGAGATGTTGGCCTCAGACCCCACTTGCAGGAATTGTTGGACAATTGAGGGTATGGCTGACCCCAGAGCTAGTGAAGAACGAAGTAATACACAGAGCTGAGAACTGGGGGGCAGCAGGAGAGCTGTTGTGGTGATAGAGCTGATCCGTGTGGTCCAAAAGCAGAGGAACACCGACAAAGCATTGCCTGGGGAGCGGGGAGGGGAGGGGGGAGGCAGAGCCGGCAGCGTGTGATTAACTTGGCTCCGCTCTCCAGAGCTGCCCACCCGCTGATCCTCCCGAACAGGCTGCGATCCCAGCGGAGCTCCTGGAGCCGGGCCGGGCGCTTGCACAATCGCAGATGGGGAGCCGAGGCTGGAGCAGCCCGGGGGGCTCGGCCAGAGAGGCTCCGGAGCGGGGGATGCGGGACACGGATGCTGAGCCCTCCAGGTGCCTGCGGGGAGGGAGCACAGTCTGTCCCCACAGAACTGATGTTTTGGTCATTCCAGCCAGCCCTGAGGGCAGCCACAGACTCTCAGCTCCCCTGTTCGGGGCAGTTTCAGCTCTGTACCCTGTTCTTCCTCTCCTGCTCCCCCGTCTCCTGATGGTTGAGGGAAGAGGCATCAACCCTCTGCTTTCCCCTGTTCCCAGAGGCTGGGGGAGCCCAGGGGCTGCTCCTCAGCTGCCAAATGCTGTCCCCCCAACACAGACACGGGGCTGGCTGAGGTGGGCTCTGTCTGTCTGGGGAGTTGCTGTGCTGCAAACTGCTCTCAGCAATTGCATCTTGCTGCCTTTGTTTCTAACGCAGCTGCAATTCCAGGGACGGGGGAAGACCCGTGTGAAAACAGGGCTTTGTCAATTGCTGTGGGAGTATTGTTATAGATTAGGAGAAATGGAACAGGAGGTAGAAGAGAGAACCTGTAACTGAGGGTTCAGGGGATGGCTGATGTTTGGAGAAGCAGAGGCCTGGATGAAGAATACCAATCCAGGGATTAGGATTCAGGGCACAGGGTCTGTCCCCAGGAGAGGACCCCACGTGTTCACTGGCACTGCTGCCTCTCCATCAAGTCTGATATGTGAGATGGGTGTGTTCTGCATGGCTCCAAAACTCTTAATAAATACATTTCCTCCCTAATCTTCAAGCTGTTGGGTGTTCCTTGCTTTTGGGAGGTGCTTTAAATCTGACTGCCAGAGCCGTGGGCTGCTGAGAGCAGAAGCTGCCTGCACGATGCTGAGCTCAGGTCTTCCTCCCGTTCTCCTGGTGCTCTCAGTGCTGGAGCTGAGCTGGTCCCTGAGTGATGAAGAAAAGAAAATCATCTTGGATGAGCATAATAGATATCGCTCCCAGGTCTCTCCTCCTGCCAAGGCTATGATGAAGATGGTAAGTGGCTTTTATTACAGAGGAATATTGGGGTGTTTGTGTGGTCCAAGGCGTGATCTTAATGCAAGGAGAGATCAGGGTGTTCCTGAGGGGAGGCAGAGCAATTCTCGTGTAGGGTTACAAGTCGGTGTCAATGGAGGGGTTCCCCAAACTGCCTCTAAAGAGAAGAGTTTCCTTCACCTTTGGAGTTGTCTTTGATCATTTTCTGCAAGTTCCTAAGTGTGATGTGAGTCCCCTGATGCTCTTCATGAGAATGATGCAGCTCTCACTCACATGAGTGCCTGCTGGAGCTCCCTGTGATGGCAGGAAGGGCAGGTGAGGCACTGCCATGAGCAGGTGCTGTGATGTGGAGACTTTGCCAAGAGCTGGTGGGGGAATGCTGCTGTGTGGGACATCACACAGTGCTCTGTATTTTCCTGTGCAGGTGGTGGTACTTTTATCTGTTGGAGGGAATGTCAACTTGTCAGTCAAGGTCTTTCAGTTACTTGGGCTCGTCACACTCCTAATCTTCACCATGACTTGGTGTCTTGGAGATGCAGGATCCCCTGTTTTGCTTGGGGAAATCAAGTCAGGTCCCACTGATGTGGGACCTGTAGTAAGACCAAAAACAAGCTTGGTGCTGATGCTGCTTTTTTGTCTTGTTCAGACTTTTGATTTGATTAAAAGTTGGCTATCAAATTTTATCTTGCACCACATGTGATTTTTCCTCCCTGTTTGCAAATCACACAGAGAAGGATAATTGTTTATCACGGAGACTTGGAGTCCTTTCCTCTTTGGGTCACATTGTGCTTTTAGGACACCTCCCTGCCTGGCCCAGAAGTTGCCCAGAATAAGTAAAACCTTTGTAGGCTGATAAATGGAAATTCTTAACAATTAGAAGAAGCAAAAAGTTAAATTCAGGGAGAGAAGGCTTGACCAGTGGCTGCAGACTCAAAGGGGACAGAGCCAGAACGCCCAGCGTCATGATCTCATCAAACCCACCAGGCACAGCAAACTCAGAGTATCAGGGCTTTGGAGCCAAAGTCTTAGAGAAAACCTGAGGGAAATGATCTCTCAGGGTCCTTAAGTCAGTGCAATTCCAAACCTGTGGGGGCTGCTCCTGGCTGAATCTTTGATTGCAGCCCCTGTGCTTTGAGATGCTCCTTCTGCAGCTTCTGCTCCTGCTTAAACACACAGGACCTGCTCGTGGTCTGGAGCCAAAGGCTTTTTCATTTTGAAGCCCAGCAAATGTTTAGCTCACAGCAGCCCTGATTCCTCAGTAGAGGTTTTCCATGAGAACACCATCCTCACCTCCCTCCTGGGACCTTTGCTTGGGCTGTCTTTGCCTCTGGGTTCACCTGCTGCCGTGGCACTATGCCTGGCTGAGGTCACCCTGTGCTTCCTTTTGGGACATGGGGCTGGTTGCTTAGGAAATATTTAGTTGAAGAGGAGGAATCTGTAGCCCAAAGCCACTTTACTAATGAGGCAAATCTGCAGGTGTGAGTCCCCTGTTCATGGAACCCAGCTCCGTGCCAGAGGGAGAGGGGTGTGTGCTCCCCACATCGGGTCTCCAGCCATCTCTGCCAGTGTGGCTTGGGGCCATGGTGGGAGGTGAACCAAAATTCTGTGCCACATCCAGGTGTCTTTGGGCTTGTCCTCATCCCCTCACCATCCCAATGGTGACATGCCCTCCTGTCTGGCACCTTTTGGATCCAGCTGGCTCTGTCCAGGAAGGTCCCCCCTCAGGACCCCCTGTTTGCAGGGCTGCCTTCCAGCAGCCAAGCTGTTCTCTCCATCAAGGACGGTCCAAACAGCTGCAGTGTAGGATTCCCCACATGCATGCCTGTGAGAAAAGCTCTCCACCTTCTCCTCCTCCTTCTCCTCCTGCACATCCCTGTGGGCAGGGGCTCAGCTGGTGGTGGGGCTGCTGCCGCTCCAGAGGGGGCTCCTGGCTGGCAGCCAGACAGACGCATCTCAGTTCCAGACAAACAGATGATGTTTCCCAGAAGCGTGTGCTCCCAGGCTTTGTACAGCTGCCAGGAGAGATGTGTCCCATTCCCCTCCTATCCCCACCCTGGGCGAGGAGGGATGGCCCCAGGCCCCTCTGGCATGACCGAAGATGGGTTTCCGTCCTTCCTCCACGACTTCATTGTTTCTCCACGCTGGGTTGAGGATGCTCCATGATGGTGTTAGATGAGCTCCAGGAGAGGTTGTGAGGGTCGTGCTAGTGCCCTGACCTTCTCCTGTCTGACCCATAAACCAAGGTTTAGTTTGTGCTGGGACTGGCCATGGAGCTCCCCTGTCCTGAGGACTGTGTTAGGGAGGGTTTTGAATTTTCCTCATGGATGGGGAAACTGTGGCCAGACAGCGCAGGGGTCCTTGGTAAGTGCCTTGTTTGTGTTGGAGAGCCCAGTGTCCCTCTCTGTGTGCTGACACCGAGCTCCTTTCAGACCTGGGACAAGGAGCTGGAGGTCCTTGCTCAATCCTATGCAGAGAAGTGCATCTGGGATCACAACAAGGAGAGAGGCCGACGGGGAGAAAACCTCTTTGCTATGGCCCCAACCCTGGAACTAGAATTTGCTGTGGAAGACTGGAATGGGGAGGAGAAATTCTACAACTTGACAACATCCACGTGTGTCCCCGGGCAGATGTGTGGTCACTACACCCAGGTACCAGCTGCTGGGGTGGAGGGGGGGCTGCTCAGCAGAGCTGGGTGCCAGATTTTCTCAGAGAGAGACGAAGTCTGAGTGTTTCTTCACAAGCTTGGTAGGGGTAGAGATGGTGGTGGATCCTGAATGCCAAAGCAATGTGGGGATGTGGGATCTGGGGACCACTCTGTGGGATGAGGAGGTCTTTGGAGCAGCCTTTAAGGCCAGGGGACAGGCTGCCTTCACCCAATCCCCTCACCTCCACCCTGATCTTTGCCTTAGGTGGTCTGGTCAAACACACATCAGATTGGCTGCGGGGCACATTTTTGTGAGAAGATCGATGGAATTGAAACAGAGAACATGCACCTACTTGTTTGCAACTATTATCCCCCGTAAGTCCCAGGCCCTGCACGGATTGATGCATCTCAGTGGGATTTCTGTGCTGGAAATGCCCTAGCTTCAGTCCTTATGTCACAGCAGGGTTTGTCCTTGGTCAGAAATAGAAGTTCCAAATAATGCTTCTGTTATCTTGGGTTGGTCCCAGAGTAAGGAAGGGTTGTCTGGAGATCCTGGCCCATGATTATGACTGCTGTGGGCTGGTTTAGCTCCTGACACACACCCAGGGAGGGACCTTCTTCCCCGAGAGCTGCTCAAGGCTGAGGTGGCAGTAGCTGAGGGTACAAACAACTCCCTGGGTCTTGGTCTTCCCTGCTGGCAGCAGCCATCGCCTGGGGTGGAGAAGGCCTTTTGCAGCAGCAGGAAGGGTTGGACGTGGGAGAAGAGCTGGGTACCCCCTTCCCAGCCCTGGGACCAGCCTTGGCACCACTTGCTCGGAGCTGCTGAGAGCACCAAGAGCAGCCAGTGGCTGCAGACCTTCCTGGGGGTCTGGAGCAGAAGTGAGACGGAATTCCTTTTTTCAGTGCCCATCCCCTGCTCTGTTCTGAGGGGGGTGAGGGATCTGCTCCATGGAGTTGTCTGCCCTGGCTTTAGCTGCCTTGGGGTCAGGCTGGTGACTAAACAGCCCTGACAGGCCATGGCAGGAGATCAAGGCCTGTTTTCTCTGTTTTCTACATTCATCCCAAGTTTTGCCTTGGCTGGGAGATCCCAGCTGAATCAGCCCCCTCTCTGGGATGGGTGTTTCCCCTTTCCTCACACCCTCTTTATCTTGGCATTTTCTGCTTCCAGGGGTAACATGAAAGGCAAAAAGCCCTACACGGAAGGACCCTCGTGTGAAACGTGTCCCACGGGCACAGTCTGTGTGAACAACCTGTGTGGTGAGTGAGCAGAGCCACGCGTGGCCCTGAAGGGGCTGTTGGGACTGAGACGCTGGGCTGGGTCTGAGCTCTGAACCCTCCTGGAGCTCTCAGGAAGCCCTTGAACTGCATTTCCAGGGCTGGAGCATGAGAAAGGACAAGTGCCTTAAGATAAGGAAGGGCTTGTACCCCATTAGGCAGCATTATTTGCCCCTTGCATGGCAGGAGGTTGTGAGGGACATGGGATGTCTCCAGGTTGGGAATCCTGGAGTGGGGAATGGCCCAGAGTGATCTGAGAGGGGTCAGCTTCTGTTTCAGCCCCTCACTGGCTTCTGCTGGTCCTGCTCAGTGCAGGGGATCCATTGAGGTCAGCTGAGCCAGCCCTAACCCAAGGCACTTTTCATCTCTCACCAGAACTCGTTGTAGAAGAGACCACTCCGGCCTCTGTGACAGCAAAGGCAAGGCCATCCACCCCAGCCACAGCCAAACCAGAGCCCACAGCCACAACCAAACCAGAGCCCACAGCCACAGCCAAACCAGAGCCCACAACCAAACCAGAGCCCACAGCCAAACCAGAGCCCACAACCAAACCAGAGCCCACAGCCAAACCAGAGCCCACAGCCACAACCAAACCAGAGCCCACAGCCACACCCAAACCAGCACCCACAACCAAAACAGAACCCACAACCAAACCAGAACCCACAGCCACAGCCAAACCAGAACCCACAGCCACAACCAAATCAGAGCCCACAACCAAACCAGAGCCCACA